AACATAAACAGCTCTTCTGAACGGAAGTCAGAGCAGGCAGAACTAGAAAATGGGAAATTTTATTATCTGAGAATTATTTTGTGCATTAAATTGAATGAACATGRTYTGGATAGCCCACAGACATACCATAAACATTTCTAGGACCCATAATTGGTCTCCTTTAATAAGTATATTGGGCTATATAGAGTTCTTAGCCAGGTTGTGCACTGTTTGGACTTTTTTATTCAAAGCATGCATTGTGTTTATTTATGCAACCATTTTACAGCTTCTTAGCATAAAAGTCAATCTAATACCAGAACTATTGATTTATGGTTCATTGATGATATTTTGACTATTTGGAGTCAAGTTTAACTATTTTTTGCTATGCAATTTTCTAATTTATAAAATGGACATGTCATAACAAACTGAGCCAGAGTTGTTTCTTTGTACAGAAAATWGGTTAAAAAGTCTCCATCAGTGTCCCAATGCATCTCAATAATCCAGGTAGAAAGAAGCACCTGTCTGTCCAGAGGACCTACTCAACTTTATTTTTTCAACTTCACATCTGTTTCTAAGTTACTGACCAATGGAGGGGGTGTAAGTTGTGTGTGCATACAATGTTTTTGCCTTTTATATATAACAATTATCGCAGACAAATTAATTTTTATAGATTGGAAAAACAAATGTGATCTTTTTTGTTAGAAATTTAATAAGTAAAATGGGTAATATAAAAAATTGGGTGTTGCACATTGAGTTTTGTAGAGTTCAAATATTATTTTTAATAGAAAAAGGTAAATTCGTATTTTTATTAAGACTGTTATTAGGTTGGAGCAGGGTTCCCATTAAATAATAATTAAATAATTAGCAATAAAACATTTAGTCTTGACTGGTTAGCTATAGACTAATATGATAGCAGTAATAAATGACAGGTTTCAAAGTCATAAAAAGCAGCAACAAAAAGGAAACAAATCCTACTGTTTTCTATAAATACATTTAAATTTGAAATATTCCCTCCAGGTGTCTCATTTAAGTTAAGACAGAAGCATCAACAGATAAACGTGTTTCAGCTCATGCTTTCAATCTGTTGCTGCACACTTAAGGCTTGTTTTGATCACAGAACCTCCACACTGTCTTTTCCATGGTGTAATGTTGGAACGGTTGGTTTTCCACTGATGGTCCAGTCCGGTTCCAGTGGGTGTGTTTTGGGCAGTTGGTGGAGGTGGTTTTTAGGGTTTTTGAAAAAAAAAAATTAATGGGCAAAATGAGAGATGGAAACACATTTGATGAATAACTTTTGAAATTTTAAAAATTTGCAAAGATTTAGCCAATCAGTGACGAACAATGTTCTGACATCGCATTTTGGTGTCAGCTGGGGCCAGTTGGAACCACAATGAAGTAGGTACTAAAAAAAGTGCTGGTTCCATGGATCTGGCCTAATGGAAATGGCTTGGAACTGTACCGACACTACACTAAGTGGCACTAGTGGAAAATGGGCATAATAATACTCAGCCAGGTAGGGCTGCCACAAACGATTATTTTAATAATCGATTAATCACCGATTATTCGATTAGTCGACTAATCAGATCATACGTTAATTGAATATAAAACATACAGCTTATCACGTCAGAATGCAGCTGCTATTGTATAACCGTCGTTAGATTTTAGCTATATGCTAACTAAAAATAATTGCTGTGGAAG